TCATCATTGAATGACCCCAAAGTTTTATTATTATTATTATTATTTTTTTTCTCCAGTAATCGTAATATCGTCAAAATTATTAAATGTTCAATAGTTATAAAGGGAAGAGAACCGAGACAACATATTTTTCTTCTTCCTTCAGGTTTTTTTCCCCACGCTGCTGTTGCTGCCAATCATCAACGATTGTTGGCCTAAATTATCGATTGACATCTAATTGGTGTGTCTCTCGATCACCATCATATATATTTTTTTTTCATTTTTGCTGTTGGTTGGGCTTAATTTTGCTTGTTTTTTTTCCAGTAAATGTTTTTTTTTGCTTGTGAAAAAAAATGAAAATCTTTATGGTCCCGGATAAAGGCCTACGCCATACAGTTCCGATCGATCGATCGACACATCAGCTATCTGGTCAATCGAAATTTTAATCATACCAAGTAAAAAGTGTAAAGACGAAAACAAAACAAAACAAAATGTGAAAATCGGAATAATTCAATACACCTGGCATATTATTTAAAATTCATAACATTTTTTTTCGCTGAATTTTTCTATGTCATGTTGATGATGATTATGGCGACCATGACACCCACGCTCGCACTTTTTTTCCACCCATCCGCTTGATATCTGCCGTTTTTTTTTTTGTTTGCCATAATTGACATTTCGTCATTTTGTGAGTAAACACACAGAAGAAACATATAAAAATAATTTTTTAATTTCTTTTCTCTGTTACATAAATAAATCAATTCAATGTGGTAGAATGTTATTTTCTTCATTTCATTTCACTTTACTTGATTAGATGAATCGAAAAAAACTATTTCTGGAACAATGGCTGAAAAACTAAATTCAGTAGAAATTGTCGCATACACACACACACACACACTCAAACATACACTTTTAAATTTTTGATTAAAAAAAACTAATTTTTTCAATCTCTTTCTTTTTTTCTCTTGTAGAAACACTTTAAAATGTGATATGCGTTGGCAGATATATAAGAAAACAACGAAGAAGAAAAGAAATAAATTTCGTTTAAAATGGTCAAATTTTAAATGAAGATTAATTATCATCATTAACCAATGACAATTTAATTCTTTTTTTTTTTTTTTTTTTTCATCAACATTTTTGACGTCTCAATGAAATGAATTTGGGAAAAAAAAAAAACTGAATTTNAGAAACACTTTAAAATGTGATATGCGTTGGCAGATATATATAAGAAAACAACGAAGAAGAAAAGAAATAAATTTCGTTTAAAATGGTCAAATTTTAAATGAAAATTAATTATCATCATTAACCAATGACAATTTAATTCTTTTTTTTTTTTTTTTTGTTCATCAACATTTGTGACGTCTCAATGAAATGAATTTGGGAAAAAAAAGATACTGAATGTCACACTGAATTGCCATTAAATCAAATCAAAATAATAATAAGAAGAGAAGAAAAAGAAAATAATCAAATAAGATATCATCAAATGTTTCCAAATTTTTTTAACCCAAATTTTTTGTGTTTTTCTGGTTCTGTTATTATTATTATTTCTGTGTTTTTTTTTTTTTTTTTGACAATAACATTATGGAAATTTAAATGAAGAAAAAAACATTTATATTATCAGATCAACTTACACTCATACTTACATTGAAAAGTTTTTTATTTTCCTCTTCATAATAACACTGTTGATTGAAACCAAAAGATCCAGAAAAGAAATATACAGGAGAAACACTGACGAAAAGAAAAAAAACTTATTTACTTGTTTTTTTTTCATCAACTTTGAATCCATCATCATATAGTATAATATTTCACACAAAATTTTCATTATTATTTTGGATCCTGTCATCTGTGAAGCGATTATTTTGACATTTTTCGAAAAAAAAAAGAATAATTTTTTCCTTCTCTCTCTCTCTCTCCTCTCATTCTCTTTTCATTCGAAAAAAGCCTTAAATTTTTTTTCTGATTTTGAAAATCTTATTTTCTTTTTCACTTGTTATTGTCATCAGTCGATTGTTGTTGTTGTTGTTGTCGTTAGTTTTGTTCTGTTTTTTTTTGTAATGTTTTCAGCAAAAAATTTCTCTTCATTTATAATAATAATAATAATAATATTGTCATTGTCAACATAATATTATGTTTTTGTTGTTGTTGTTGTATTTTTTCCCGTTATCTCAATTCAACAACTGTGGCCTTTTTTTTGCGTTTCTCTCCCAACATTATAACACATACACACCCACCCACACACAACATTAAACCAAGATTCATTTTAAATAATTGTGATTGATTGTTGTAATTCCATTGACATAACATTTGAAGAATTTTAACAGCAACAACAACAACAATAACAATACCGAAAAAAAAATTGTCAAAATTAAATTATCAAAATCAAAAAAGAATCAAATCAAAAAACAACAACAAATGTGTGCAAAGATTTCGATCAAAATTGATTTATCAAAATCAAAATAGAGAAAATTATTGTTAAAATTTTTTTTAAATAAATATTTTTGTTAGCCAGAAATCACACATATAAACACTGATGCATAAACTAAATTAGATTCAGTAGAAACAAAAAACGGGACATTTTTTGTTTTTGTTTTTGTTTAAATTTGTGAAATGAAAAAATGAAAATCCGTCAAAATCGAAACAACGATGAAGACGACGATGAAACAAAAATTTTCAAAGACAACGACTACCGGAAGTCTATTATTATCATCAATACTAATGATTAAAATTTTATTGTTTGAAAATACGAATACTTGAAAAAAAAATTGAAGGAAAAAAAAACGTGAAAATTTTTTCCTTTTTTTTTGTTGCTTGCCTCGTTTTGAATACACGAAAAACACACTTATAACACAAACACCAATATATACTTTACTTACATAGAAATAAACACTGTCGAAATAAAAGCGATAGAGAGAAACGAAAAACAAAAAACAAAAAAATTGACGAGAAAAATACAATCAACCACGAAAAATGGTCAACGTCCTAGTTATTGGCGATGGCGTCACGGTTGGATCGACTAAATCAATGTCGACATCGTCATCGAATACGACTACGACTACGACGATGACTGCAAATACGCCAACAACATTTACAAATTGTGATGATGAAAATAAAACAATACAACAACCAACCACAACGATTAAATCGATCCAACCAGTGATATCTTCGGCAACATCTTCGTTGACGACGACGACGACGATAAAAACAAATGCAACAACAATCAATAATAGCCAACGTTTTAACGCTACTGATGTGATAACTAATCGTAATGACGGAAGAAATCATCAAAATAATAATTACACTAATAACAATAGGCTAGCCTCAACAACAATATCCACAAATAATTCAGTTTCGTTACAGTCATCATATTCTTGTGGTAAAAATCATCATCATCATCATACATCTTCGACGGCAAACATAAACAATGCATCAGTGGATACAAATCATAAAAATGGTGGCGATGGCGGTGGTCGTGGTAGCGATACAGATACCAATCATCATCATCGTCATTCATCCGCTTCAGTTGCTGGCGGTAATAATACTGGTATTACATTTAGGCCTACAAATTATATTTTATTAAATAAACTTCGTGTACAATCATCATCTTCTCGTATACGACGATCATCATCATCATCATCATCGTCAGCAACAAATATTGATCCATTGAACGCTATCGTTACAGTTGGATCATCATCATCATCATCATCATTGAATGGCCAAAATAAATCATCATCATCGAATGTAAATAAACTGTCAACATCAACATTGTCTGATCGGCGAGATTATCTTGGCCATAATAGTAATCATCATTCACAAACAAATCAATTACATCAACAACAACATCCTCATCATCTTTATCAACAACATCAACATCAGCATCATAATCATCAAACACAGCATGGCCAAAGCTCTAGCCATAAAACAACGTTTAGTACATTGGCTAATATAAATAAAAAGATTTCCAACAACAATGTAATTGAATCACCAATTTCAATTTCAACAACAAAAATGATGACAACCGCTGAACAAAAGACTACTATGGTTCCATCATCATCATCATCATCATCGTCGTCGTCAAATGGTCATCATTCTCATTCAAATTTTCATAAACAACAACAACGTCTTTCAACATCAACTATAACGACGACGACGACGACGACAACAACATCAGCATCCACATCCACATCATCATCCATAGTGATGGTGGGTGGTGGCAATGTTGGATCATCATCACCATTGAATCATCATCATATAAATCATTTACATCAACACCTACGATCATCTGTTTCAACCACATTCAATGGTAGTAATAATTTTCCGAATACATCAACAATAACGATGACGACTAGGCCGATTATTACTCGTGTCAATGCACCATATTGGCTTAACCAACAGCCGAACAACAAAAAAGGTTTGGCTACATTTCATTTCTGAAATTCATTTTCTAAAAAAAATGTTTTTTTTCGTCTTTCTTTTGATCTAAATTCTTTTAGATTGTTCATCATCATCATCATCTTCGACGCCTACAACATCGATACATGAATATCGTAAAAATTCAGCATTATTGAATGAAAAAAATCGATCATTATTGATTAATAATGGAAATGTGATCAATAGGTCAACATCAACGGGCAAATCAACGGCAATTGTTGATGATGATCTTGTTCAATCGAAAGTAACACCATCATCATCATCATCAACCATATCTGTAACAAAATCTGAACAAAAAAATTCAAAACCAATACGATCAATATCAACGATAATAAATAATCATAGTTATCGTATTAATGATTCAACAAGATCTGCCGCTGATTTATCAACACGGAAAACAAAAATGATGATCAATTCTAATAGTGATCAATCGTTATCGATATCAAAGAAACAATTATCATCATTACATATGCAACAACAACAACAACAGCAACGAATTGACAGAATCGATACAGATAAATCAATGATGAATAATGTTGATCTTGTCAATAATAATAATAATGATAAAAAGATCAACAATGATGATGATGATGATGATAAAAATAATGTTTCTCGATCAGTCATTGTTGATGATGATGATGATAATAATAATAATAATAATCATTATCATACAGAAGAAAAACAAAAATGTGATACAAACACTCGAGTCAAATCTAAAACATTAATAATAACAAATGATATTGATGGCAATACTAATAATAATAATAATAATAATAATGGTGATATTGTTATTGATGTTGATAATGATGATGATAATAAAAGTGTTACACCGGAATCTGGTCACAATATTAACGATGTGTATGCTGATGTTCAATCACCATCATCATCATCATCATCATCAAATGATAAAATTAAAACAACAAGATCGGATAATAATGATTCACAAATGAAACAATTATTAAAATTTATTGAAAAATCTTCACCCGAAATGCTTTTTCTATTGGAAAAAAGTGCTCAGCTTAGTTATCAGATGGCATTGTTTGAACGAAAATTAGATTATTTGAAGAAAATATTTACGAATGAAAATAAAAACAATAATAATTGTACGGAAGAAAATAATGAATCATTGCTTTGGTCAAAAGTGATCAATCGTACACGAGCATGGATTGCTGATTGTCGTAAAAAGAATATCTTTCTTACTAATTATGAATTGAAACCATTGGTGAATAAAAAGTCGAAAATAATATCTGAAGAACAGATATTAGATGAATGGAAAACATTGGTAGCTAAAAATAATAAAGAACGAAAACCAATGAAAATGTTTAATGTTGATTCATTGGCTACGATGAACGAACAAAATGTAATTGATGCTGCTGAAACTAATGAATCGTCATCATATGTAAGTCTTTCATCTAAAGATGAGCTAATAATGTTGCTCGATCAGATTGCTCAATTTTCATCAAACATCATATATCAATCTCGTAAAAATCAATCTAATAATTTTTATGAAAATAATAATTTGAAACAAGATAACGAAAATGATGATATTGTTGATCTCAATCGTAGTGCAAGAGATGGCACTGCAATCAATGCTGTTAATGATGATGATAATGATGATTCATTGATTCGGAATCAAAAAATTAATGAAAAACAAAATGGAAGCATTCATGATAATAATAATAATCATACTCAATCAATAATGAAAGATGAAATAGATCCAAAATCATTTTTACATCGATTATTGACAAATAATCGAATGAATAATGATGAAAATGAACAGAATAGAGAAAATGAACAATTATTGGAACAATTAAAGCCGGATATATTGAAAGCATTAGTACAGATAATCAAAACCAATTCACTTCTAGTCCAAGTTCAACGTGAATTCGATATACTTATGTGTGCACATTTGAAATCTTATAGTCGTTCGTTAAGTAAACAACAACAACAACATCAACAAGGTGCACATCGTCAACGTCATAATGAAGTTAATCAATTTATACTGGGAACATCACCATCATTATCATCATCAATGCCATTCTCTTACAATGGTGGTGGTGATCATCATCAGCATCAGTTATTAGCGAAACGAATTAAATCCAATTCGCCAAACCAGCATAAATTACGAACACATCAACAGCAACAACAATCGCAAAATTTTGTTATCAATAATAATGGCAATAAATCAATGACAGCTAGTCATCATAATTACAATTTCTGCAATAATCCAAATCAAATATTAAATCAAAAATTTTCACAAACACAACAAACAAATCGTATGATGAATGATGAACTTTCACAATATGTTGGTGGTGATTGTTGTATGGGGAATAAATTATCACAGAATAATAATTTTGTTTCGGATGGTGATTCTGGTGGTGAATTTACGGCAACAACCGTTACAAATGAATTTAATCAATGTATTACTGATGATGAATTATCATCATTATTAAATCAGATTGCTTTGTGTTCGCAGAAAATCATTGAACAAAGTGGAAGTATTACTGGTACCAATTTAACTAATACTACAAATAGTTCAAGTAATAATAGTACAAGCAGTAGCGGATGTTGCTGTAGTACTAGTATTGAAGCAAAATGTTGTAGTATTAACAATCATAATCATAATCATCATCATCATCATCATCAATCGACACAACAACTTCCGATAACTCCATCAACGTTAGCTCTTCGATCACAACATCATCGTCAAATTGGTAAAGATCCTTTATCAACATATAATGATCAAATGATGATGAATCCACAAGAAATATCAATGAATAAATATTATTGTATGAATCCAACTGGTTCTGTACAAGATCTTGCACGTTATCATATGAATTATTCATCGCCAATTAAAACAAACGCAAATTCTATGTCTTTCAATCATCTTAATCATCATCATCATCATCACAATCATTTATTGAACCATCATGATGATAATAATTTAGATTCACATCAACAAATATTCAATGATTCGATGAAAAAATTTGATAATTGTTATTCATCACCATCATCAAAAAGAATTTTACATGAACAATATCTTGGATGGCCATTGGATGGACCATTATTCGATCGTGTTTCAAACAATATGACTGGATTCATGCTTTCATCACCAAGATTTGATATGATGTCTCCACTTGTTGATCAGAATCATCAACATTATATGGCCAGACATCGTACAAATATTGGTCAACAACATTATTTTCATCATCCAGATCATCGACAATCCGATGGTCCATGTATGAATGGTCAAATAAATGATTGTATCAATCCTACCAGTGCATTTATATTCGATCCTAATGTTGATGTTGAAAGTTTTTTAATGGAAGTTGAAAAAGAATTGGATGAAAATCGTTTTACATCGGCACCTCCATTTATGAACCCTGTATCATCTGCATCTAATTTTGATAATGGAACACCAACACATCATAATAAGAATGGCTATAATAGTCGATCATCTAATCATCATTATCGTTGTTCATCTATGAATCGATCATCTATCCTACGAGATGAACCATCTTTTTGTTGTCAACGAACATCAACAATGCAACAATCACCATCTTCACAGTTACCTATGGCTGAACAATTGAAATGTGGTCCAGGATTAGCATCTTATTCGTCACCTCTAGTCACCAATAATGTTGTATGTAATGCAACTTCAACAATGCATTCACCTTTAATAAATTCAATTCATTTGGATCGACAGAAGCATTATAATCAACGAAATCATTATAATCATAATAATAATAATAATAATCACCATCATATAAATTGTTCGAATGCACGATGTTTAGATCACCAATCGTTGATATTAGCAGGCGGTAATTGGAAATTAAGCCAACGAAATTCCATAAATGATTTTGGTCGTTTCAATATATCATTAAACAATCTATCGAATAATCAAATGAATGGACATCAACATCATTTTCCATCAACAATACAATCATCGATGACCAATGGACATTCAATACCACAGCTATCATCATTATCATCATCAACGGCAACAAATGCAACTATGATGAAAGATCAAACAAAATTTTCTTATGATCTTTTGGATGAATATCGAACACAAGTATCATATCGTGTTAATGAAGAAACTGATCGACAATTAAAAGAAATTGATCAATGGCTTTATAAACACCTTGACCAATCTCAACAACAACAACAACAATCACCGAATCTAATAAACAAGAACAATAATAATAGTAGTCATTTGCATTTAAATCAAGAAATTGGATCCGTACAACAACAACAACAACAACAAAAATCGATTACAATGTCGACAACAGACTTAGCAAAAGATACATTTCATTAATTCAAGCAAAAAAATTCTGTGTTTGACATGTTATTCCATTCTTTCTTTATTCATTCATTTTTTTTTAAATTACAAAATTTCAATTTTCAATGACTAGCATTCAACAGATTTACATTTACAGTGCCAATTTACCACAAATCAATGACCAGATTTTGCATAATCAGATAATAAGTATTTTAGACAAAAAAAAAACAAAACAAAACAACAACAAAAAACTGTTCTATAAAATCCATATGTAACAATTTTTGATTGTTTGTTTTTAAGCGTTAATATTTTTTTTTGGGTCCAATGAATTTCCTATCATTATCAAATGAATTTTGAATGATTCATTCAATCAATCGATCGAATAGTTTATCGTTTCTTTTTTTTCTCTCCTTTCAATTTCATTATTATTATTATTATTATTATTATAGTATTTTCGTTTGTCAATTTGACAACAACAACAACAACAAAAACAGAATGACAAAACATTTATAATTAAAATTTGCTGTCTGTGATTTACATTATTATTATTATTATTAATTAATTAATTAAGACTATTACTGATCAATCATTCACAAATGGATTCAATCAATGTCGAATATTATTATTATTTTTTTGTTCCTTTAATCCTTTTTTGTTTGCTTCATTATCATCATCATCATTTGTTTTATTTTCATTCATTTTCAAATTTTTAAATTTATTTTGTGCATTTTGATGATTGATGATGTTATTTGTTGTTGTTGTTGTTGTTGTTTCCAAATCATGAATCATCAACAACAACAACAACAAAAATTGTATTATGCACGCCTTAAAAAACAATAATAATAATAATAATAATAATAATAATTTTATATTTGCCTACAAAAAAAATGAATATTATTTGTTTTCAGGAAACAACAACCAACAAAAAAAACAGAAGATATTTGAAACATTCATTCATTCACATTTGCAAACATTAAACTGGAAATTTTTTGTTTTGTCCCTTTCTTTTCAAAAAAAACTATAGACTATTTTATTTTCCTGATTAATAACTTGAATGTATTTATAAAAGAAAATTTTGTTTTTAAAAAAAAATTAAATTAAATTTATAAATTTTTGTTTTTTTCCAACGTGATACAAAACAACAACAACAACAAAAAAACCGATTCCAATTTCAGATGCATTCTTCTTATACTGTTCTCACACACATTCACACCAACACTGTATTCTATTATTTTTTTTTCTTTTCTCGTTTGTTCGTTTCGTTTTTTTTTCAAATTTGTTCAATTTTTTCTTGTCACTGAAAACACACACACCCACACACATGATTCATATAATCATAATTAATTTTTTTTTGTTTCATCCCTTTTCCACTCCTATTTATAATAAACCATAAGATCCTGATTAATTTGTTTGATTATTTTTTCGAGAAAAAATAATAAAAATTGATTAATTAAATTTAACTTCAAATTTGTATTTGATGAAATAAAATGGGAAAAAATATGGAAATTTATTGATTATGAATGAAAATGGAAAAAATAAAAATAAATGAATAAAATACAACAGGTTGGAAGGGTTAAGAATTTTTTTTTTGATGAGATGAAAAAATAACGACTAATCCACATTCGATGCTTTTGAAGTTTTTACCATCATCGTTGTTGTTGGTTGGTTTAAAATCACTGGTTGAATAAATGATTTGAAAAAAAATTCCATTTTTTTTTGTTTTTGTTAATTTTTATTTATTTAGGATGATTGGGTGCTTTTTGATATGCTGTATGTGGATAATTTTGTGGAACATGTACTTGATGTGGTGGTGGATAATCATCGCTTACATGATTTGCTGTATAATAACAAAAATATATTGTGACCATTAATGCCATTAAAACAGATACAGCACCTATTGTAATGCCAGCAATGGCGGCTGGACCTAATTCACCTAAAATGAAAAATTTTTTAGAATCGAAATTATCATTATTTTTTTCAAATAAGTTCAACAGTTTGATAATCGTTTATATTGCACTTACCTCTTCGTTCACCATAACGATTTTGACCAAAATCATATGCACCACCAATATATGCTTGACCAAAAACAAGTTGAATTGCTGATGCAATTATAGCTAAATAAAAATATAATTTCATTTTTATGTATGGATGGATTTCGATTCTTTTCACAAAAAAAAAATGATGATCGAATTGCTGTTTTAGATGATGAATAAACTGAAAATTCAAACTACTTTTTGATCGTTTCCAAAAGAAAAATTGATTGATTTTTTGAGTTTGATTTTAGCAAAAATCACAAAAAAACATAAAAAACATAAAAATCAATTGTATTGCTATTGTCGAAAGACACAAGAAAAATGGTAAAATGATAAAAAACCTGGAAATTGCGTTGTAATGATGCTTATCAGGCAATAATATTTTAACATGCTTAGATATTAAAAAAACAAAAAAAAAATTTACAATTCAATTCAATATTACATTTTTGATTGCTATTGGATGCAATCATCATCATCATCAAACAACTGGTAAAATTGTCCTCCTGGTTTCAACAACCTCACCTAGTAACCAACAAAAAAAAGAAAAAACGTTTATATTATAAATTATAAACATCAGATATCCATTGGTTACTATGGATTATTTTATGGATAATCATCAAAAATCTATCTAAATAGTAAATCACTATAGTAGTCAAAATATATAAAATATAATATTTTTATAAATTGTCATCATTCTAATCAAACAACAACAACAACAACAAAATAAGTATTTACTGATAATCTCTCATGGCCATTTATTATTGTTGCTTTGATCCATCATTATTATAGTAACTAGAAATTATGTATTATAAACACAATCCATATTAAATTTGTAATAATAATTATTAACATTTTGATCTAGAAACTGGAAACAAAAAAAAAGGGTACAGAATAATCAAATTTTTCATTTTGTTCAACAAATATCCTTTATTTTTTTTTGTGTTTCAACCAAGTTCCAAAACCTTCAACATGATGATGACAACTTTGAATTGTATACATCAATTTTCTTTACATTCAATTCACAATAATGTTCATACAAACAAAATAAAATGGTTCATCGATAATTAAAAATAGACTTGCATGATGATTTTTTTTGTGTGTGTGTGTTGAGAGAAGGAGGGAAGAGAGAGAGAGAGGTGGCCATATCAATATTTCATATATATTGGATTTTCTGTTACTTTGGTTACAGAAGATTGATTTTTCCATTTCTCTTTCTTTCACTTATTATCATCTTTCTGCCATTTTTTTATTTCAAATAAATAAATGTTGATCCATTGAATGATCTATTTTTAGGTTTAGGAAAATAATAAACACAACAAAAAAAAATTTCTCGAACAATTTTGTTGTTGTTTTTCTTGAAACAACAACAACAACAAATAACAAATAACCCGAATGAATAAATAAAATAAACTGGCTAATGAACCAAAGAAATGGACAAACAAAAAGACGATTGACCAGAGTGTAAAAAATGCTGCTGTTGTTGTTGGTCCAATTTTTCATTTTATTTTTTTGCTTCCAATTTCTCTTTCATTTTATTACGTGTGATGGAGAGGGGAAAAAACGGTGGAAGATGTAGTGAGCGAGAAAATGGATTAAACATCGAACATTTTTTTATGAATTTATTTTATTTTTAGAAGTTTTTTTTGTTGTTGTTGTTGATGATGATCATTTATCATCGATGACAACAACAAAAACAAAAAATGACAACAACAGGTGAGAAAAATCAGTAATCAAAAAACGAAAATTTACTTTTATTTTTCATTAAAATTAGAATGTCAATATTTTTTTTTGTTGTTGAATGATGTTTTTTAGTGAAAAACAAAATCTGGTAAGTAAAAGTTTGAGAAAAAAAAAGAGAAATGGAAAAAAAGGGAAAGTTATTGACTTTTAAAAGAGAATGAAAGAAAGCGAGAGGTTTCATTAGAAATTTTGAATCAGGATCGACACTCTTTATACATACGGTTATTTTGATGATTTTCGGTTCATTTCATTTCATTTTATTTTTTTTTTGAATAAGGTCATCTATTCATGAGAATTAATGATTGATCGAGATAAAATGAATGAAAGAGAAATAAAACTGTATAAGATAATGGACTTTTTTTTTGAAAAGAAATAAGAAAAAAAGAGAATACCTATAGGCGTTTCGTATTTGATTCTATTTATTTTTCCCGCATCTTCATATCGGTTTGGACTTAAATTTAGTTTGATAAAAATCCAGGTGTTGACACACAAATACAAAGTGTGTATAGTTTTCATTATTCACATACATTGATGATTTATTCATGGTAAAACCATCGATTTTTTACGAGATAAATCCACAAAAAAAAGTTCATTTATGATCGACAATCACAATTGATCACAATAACAAATCAAATTTAATTTACAATTTTTGTTACGTAAGAACGAATCGTATTTGAATTTTGGTTCTGTTTGTGTTTATGGTGGTGTGCGTGTGTGTGTGTGAAGGATTGAAAATTTGTTAAATCCTGAAAAAAAAATCACAACTGCAACAACAACAACAAAAATGGCTTTAGAATTTTTTATTCGAAAATATTTCAATCATCAATTTGCTATCGTACATTATTATCGTTCATTATGGATAATGTTAATCTGTTATATTCTATTATTATTATCAACAACAATGTTTATCGAAAAGGCTGATGCATTTATATTTTGGAAAGCTAAAACAACTGCATGCGATATATGCGATGGTATCGATACCTATTCCGGTCGTAATGTTATGTGCTGTTTTTTATCATCAAAATGTTGTGGGTAAGTTGAAATTATTATTTTCATTTTATTTGTATTTTTTTCATATTTAAATTTTCATTTTGTTTTTTTTCTTCTCATCCTTATAGTTATAATAATATTGATGATCTTGAAACTGCTCGTATGAACGTAACATCAACAGGATCGACGTAAACGAATGAAAACATTTGAATGGAGCAAAAAAATAGAATTAAAGTTTCAAAACAAATGAAAATTGTTTAATTTATTTCGAATTTAGAGTATTTTTTCCCCCTTCATTTCCATTTTGTTCCAATTGGAATTTTCATCTTCGATGTAGTAGTTTTGTATATGATTTTAATAAATATGTCTCTCTTTTTTTAATTTTTTCAAAAATAAATTTTATTGAATCTTTTTTTTCGTTTTGGTTTTTTTTTGTCAAATATTAAAAAAAAATATCAAATTACCAAATTATTATTATTGTCCCACAAAATTAAAATAATGATAGAAAATTTTCCAAAGAAATAAAGAGATCTAAGTGTAATGTGTAATTGTGTTTGTGTGTGATTTTCAAATATTATTAGAATCAAAATGTAATCAAAATGATGATTTTGTATTGCCAGTGAGAAGATATTTATTATTGGAATATGTTTTGCTTTGTTTTCAATGGATTTTAATTTGAATCTTCGTTCTATCTTTTTTGAGGCATTGTTATGATGATTTTACTTTCCTGTGCATCAAGATCTTCTTCCCTGTCGACAACAGTATTCATATTGAATAGATTTTTTGTTATCGTTTTTGAATGTTGATTATCATAATCAGTATCTTCTTTTTCTGGTTCTGGATGTTCATTTTTATCAACAATTGGATCAGTTATCGATTGATCGGGATAATATTCATTATTAGATATTATCGATGGAATTAAATTTGGCATAAATTCTAATTGTTTTTGTATATTTGATGGTAAATTCCAATGACGTCCACTTACTCCACGTGTACCGCCTAAAAAGAAACTGGATAAACCGACAGGTAATTTTGTTTTATATGGCCATCGTTGTTCATTTTGTAGTTGATTAATGTTGTTGTTACTTTTATTTATATTTGAAGAAAATGTTAAGGATGTCGTTTTTCTTGATTTATCAAGATTTATGATAGTAGCGGGATTTCCACTAACATCATTTGACCTGCTACTATATGGATTGATTGCAATGTCTATAGTTGGATAACTACTTTTATCGATTTTATCATTATCGACGTTGTTTTTAGCTACAATGATGGTGTCATTGGCACTATTAACTTGTTTAACTGTTGATGCCGATGCTTCCAACAATGGTATATTATCAAAATTAGCTTCATCAACTGGTATTAATGTTATTTTATTCTTATCAAATTGTTCAATTTTATCGATTTGATTTGATTTCGTTATGCTTGATTTTAAATTTTTCTCACTATTAGTACTGATATCATACCAAACCTCTTCAGGAATTCTATCCAATTTGTTCTGTTGTTGATAGATTAATGGTAATGGTGTAAAAAAACTAGCCAATGAACTCGGTTGTTGATAAATAATTGGTTGAAAATCTTTTGGTGGTAATACATAAACGGGATAAGTTTCCGATGATGCTAATGGTCGATTTATTGCCTGTGATGATGATGATGATATTGGAAAAGAAGAAGTTTTACATGGAACAGATTGATCATTATTATTATTATTATCGTTTGATGATGAATTATCGATTCGTTTTTGAAACATATTTTGATTAATATTAGCAACATTATATGGATGATTGTTGGCAGTTGTTGTTGTAATATAATGTGCAAAAATTGGCATAGTAGCCGTGAATGCAATTGGATTACGCTGTGGATTCCATTGTAATGTTGTGATCAATGGTGATGCATACAATGAAATGGCTGATGGCTGCATTGATGATAATGATGATGATTGATATGGAATTGGATAAATATTCTGATGTGGAATATATGGAACCAATGTGGACATCATTGATGTTGTTGTAAATGGTCGATAAAATGAACCAATTGTTAATGATGTAGCTGGAGAAATTGCTGAAATACCATTATTATTGATATTAAGATTTTCCAAGGACATTGATGATGATGATGATGATGATGAAGGCAATGTCGTTGTTGTTGGTAATAATGATGAACGTTTTTCACGAACAATGGCAACATTTTTCACCGTTTTTGTCGCATTTATCATCATAATCACCGATGACCAAATCAAGATGATTTGAATGAATAATTTTTCCATTTTGTTTCAGAAACTCTTTGTTTAATTTAAAAAAAAATAACTCTCACACTCTGTTTTTTACTCAAAATATTATGATCGGGTAACCTTGTCGAAACTTAATTAAAAAAGTGTTTTGCTTTTTAAATTTAAAAAGTTCTTTTTTTCTAATTAATTCGAAACAAACTTATGATGACGATGATGATGATGATGATCGCTGATAAATGATTTTCACAATGCAAGAGGGTGACAGAAAATATAACATTGATGACGATTCAAATGAAAATTTTTTCAAACAAGATTTTTTTTTTTTTGAAATAAGAAATGGATAACATAAATTCTATATTCAAGTTTTTCAATAGTATTTGTGATTAAACAGAGAGAGAAAAAACATCATCATCAATAATAACAACAAGATAATGTTTATGATGAACAGAAAATCTTTGTTGTTTTTTTTCAACAACAACAACAATTTTGTTTTTTTTAATTTCAAATTGATAATAACGATGATTGTTGGTGGTGGTTGTTCATTCAAATGTTGTAAATAATGTGGTAATGTATGATGATGATGAACAATCCAAAATAAATTAAACTTCACAAAGAATTTCGTTTTGGTCAACGAACAAAAAAAAAACAAAACAAAACAAACAAAGAACAATTGTCTTTTTTTGTGTATGCTTGAGGTGATAAATGTTTATTGAATTTTTGTTGTTGTTGATGAATAATTTATATAATAATAGTAAATTGCATCTTTTTTGTTTGTTTGTTTGTTTGATCTTCTGTTTTTTCAATAACCACAAAAACAACAACAAAAAATGCAATAAAATAAAATTAGAAAATGAAAATCACAGAGAAAAAAAAACATGAAAAAAAAGATTGAATGGAATATTCATTTACTTATTATTGATCCAAAAATCATTGAAGCAAAACTATGAATAAAATTAAATTTGACAACAACAACAACAAAAAACACATTTGCGTTTTTCCTACTATATTAGTATTTGTTTCAAGAATTTTCTTTTTATTCTTTAACGTTTTTGATTAAAAAAACGAAGAACGATGAAAAAAAACCAACAATGATGCTATTTGATGATTAACATTGTTGTTGTTGTTGTGTAGTAGGTGGACGTGGGTGTACAATTATATTATTGTTTTTTCAATGTTGTAATTATAATTGTCGTTGTATTCAATCAAAATGTCAAATACGATGATGATGATGATGATGGTAATTGATGTTTTTTTGGATGCGAAAATAATGAAAAAGACAAAAAGAAATTAATTTTTTTCTATTAATAACAAAAAAAAGTATTCAATTTTTGTCGTTTTCATTATTGAAAACAATAATATGATAAACTTACATTGATTCTTGTGAAGAAGAAGAAAAAAAAATCCAATCGAAAGATTTTGTGATTGAAAAACAAAATGAATTTTTCTCTCACGTTTCTACAGAGTTTTTATAGTCAATTTTTTTTTGGAAAGAAGTAATTTTTTTAAAAGGGTATCTCGTATAGGTGTGTAAAGGGTAATGATTGTTGTTTTTCTTGTTGTCTTCTTTTTTCGTTTTACGCAATTAGATGTCAATGTTAGTCGACTGGTTTGTAGATTGTACGAAATTCATATTGACAATTATGATCGATGATGATTGAATATTATATTGATAATACATAGAGATTCCAAATCAAGAATTTCTACATTGGCATAAGGATGTTAAATCTTGATGATAAATTCACACATACACTACTTTTTTTTTGGTAATAATAATAATAATTTTTTTTCAAAATTGTTGGCTTTTGTTCAGTGTTATTGATCCAACAAACTTGATTGTTGGACACACCAAAAAAAAAGTTGTTTGATTGAAACGAAGAAGATCAAAACCAGACCTTTCTGTTTTTTTTCTTTCAGTAATTTATACGAAAAAATTTTTTTTTATTGGCGTCTATATTTATATAGATAATACTTGTTGTTGTCCGAGAAAAACAAAATAATCGAAAATATTCATCCATAGGATGAACTCTCTCTCTCTCTCTCTCTCTCTCTCTCTCTCTCTCTCTCTTTTGCTATCCGATCGACCTGAAAGTTCAAGTTCTTCTTGTTCGTACAATTTTTTTTTGTATTCGATTTGACCGTTCGATGACCGTTGTTTCATTCATTCATTCATTCATACGAACTTTTTACCTAAAAATNTTTCTGTTTTTTTTTCTTTCAGTAATTTATACGAAAATTTTTTTTTTATTGGCGTCTATATTTATATAGATAATACTTGTTGTTGTCCGAGAAAAACAAAATAATCGAAAATATTCATCCATAGGATGAACTCTCTCTCTCTCTCTCTCTCTCTCTCTCTCTCTCTCTTTTGCTATCCGATCGACCTGAAAGTTCAAGTTCTTCTTGTTCGTACAATTTTTTTTTTGTATTCGATTTGACCGTTCGATGACCGTTGTTTCATTCATTTATTCATACGAACATTTTACCTAAAAATAATAATTTTTTCTTTTTTCTGATGAATACTATCCGTTTGTTCGTTGTAATGTTTTTGTTTTGTTTCTTGTTTGACCTTTGATGATCATGTATGATTGGTAATCATAAACATAAATATTCTATAATAATAATAATGGTATTGATCGATATAATCAAATTGGCAATCATAATCAACAACAACAACCAACCAAAAATCATTAATGAGAATGTTTCATGATTTTTGGATTATGAATGAGAAAAATGGCTTTTTTTCGTTTTCGTTTTATTCAATTCAAATAATGAATATTATTTTCGTTAACTCTAATTTAAAAAATCATTATTCAATCCATGAAAGGATTTTATCCATATGTGGCGCTACTGTTTCACTAATACATTAAACTAATAGAGTATTTTTCTAATGTGAGCAATATTTTTGGATAAAAGTTGTTATTATTGGCAAAATCAAGAATAAAATTTCAAAGAAATATGTCGATATCATTATAATACACAATAGGGAAATCATCATAAAAATCATAACAAAAATTAAATTATTACAAAATTCTAGCCACACAAAAAAGATTATTATGCTGATTGAATAATAAAAATATTCTCAAAAACAAAGAATCAGTAGAAAACAAATAATAATAATAATAATAATCCATATTTCAAATTTATGGTTGTACATATAAATGATTCCTAATTCGTTTTTTTTCTTTCTGATTTGTTCCATATAACAATGAATATATGCATTTCATTTCTCATATGATTCATAAACTAAAGAAAAAGAAATTAAATTCATTTTTAGCTAATGAAATTTTTTTTTATATGATAATGAATGTGCATTATACAAAAGAACTTTCCGAAAGTGTATTGCATATGAATATTCGCAAAGATCCATTGCAAACAGTGTGTGTGTGTTTTGTATGGTATTACAGTGCGTGTGTGTTTTCTCAAGAATGATCATGCGTTTTTTTTATTATTACTTCTTTTTCGTTTACAGCGCCTGTGTGGTACGCGTTGTATTTGTTTTGTTTTGTTTATATAAATGTGCGTGTTTTGAGCATGGTGTTGTTGAGCTGACAAAAACAAAAAATTCAATTACCAATATTGGGCCCAATCAAACAAAATTTAAAACAAATAAGAATCGAATTCTTTATTCATAATATATTTTGGAGAAGAATTTTGAAATTAAAAAAAAACGATTACAAAGAATATTCATCAATTTCATCATTGTGTAAATGATTGATTCGTGTTTTCGTTTGTTGTACAAATTGCGCATTTATTTATTTTTTCACTCTAAAATTCTGTGTATCACAGCGAGAATGCGCTTAATTCTATTTCGATTCTGTTTTTCTTGTCTTGAATGAAATTCAAATTTATTCAGTTTCATTATATATGTTTTTTTTGTTTGTGTGTGTATGTTTCTTCTTTTTCTTCTTCATTTTATCTATGCAATGCAAAAAAAGAAATCTTTATCACTTGTTGATCAAATTGATTTGAATGATGTAATCAAATTGATTTTTTGATTTTCTTCGAAAATGTTCATCATCATAATATAAATTGTTTTAATGATAAAAAAAGAAGAAAAATTAATCAATTCGTACAAAATAAAAATGAAATTTAACAATTCAAAAAAGAAAACCCGAAGATAAATGAACAACGTATTTGTTTCATAAAAAAAACAATCAAATTCTCTTATAACAAACAAAAGTAAAGTCGACGATCCTTACAGCTTTTTTTTTCTTTCTTTGTTTTTGATTCATTAAACACCATATAGTTCGAGCTTTATCATTATGCATAATCTTTTTATTTGATTTTGATCATCGATCGATATATTTTCATATCATTTTTTTCCTCACTGATATTTGCTTTCGGCATACTGCACATTATTGCTAAATAGTAGTTATTATCATCATCATCATCATCATCATTTTGCATCATTTGCTTTTGGTTGATTATAATGATTTTGTTTTGTATGAAAATTTGCACGATTAATCCTAATGTATTTAGATTCGGTTTTTCCATGTAGTAAATTTCATTATTTCATTTTATTATTATCCCTTCATGAACAACCATTTTGTCCTTTATATATAAAATTTTTTTTTTACTATATTCATTCATCATTTACGAATGTTCAAAATTTTCTTTTCCTGAATTATGTCATCCAGTAAATCAAACAATAATAATAATGATGACAACGGCAACAACCAAATCGATCAACAAGATTTAAACATTATAAATTTGAATAAAATACGAATTCTATATGCATCACAAACAGGCCAAGCGGAAAGCATTTCAAAAATAATTTATGATCAATTATATGATTCAATTAATCAATATGTTTCAAATTGGACAGATTTTAATATTGACAATTATCTACAACGTTATTGTATTAGTGATTATGATAAATTGATAACTGATTTTTGGAAAATAGATAATAATATAAAAACAACAAATTCATCATCATCATCATCATCATCTGATTCCGATTTTTGTTGTGTGCGTCATTCTTATAATAATAAAAATTTATTGATTATTGTTGCATCGACCACTGGACAAGGTGATCCACCCGATAAGGCAACAAAATTCTTTCGATGGCTACGACGTTTAAAACGAGAAAAACAACTAACAGAATTCAATCATTTAACCTATGCATTGTTGGGCCTTGGCGATACAAACTACGATAATTTTGCCAATTTTTCCAAACAATTGAACAAATTGTTCGACGAATTGGGAGCGATATCATATATTACACCAGGTTTGTTTGTCACGATCATCATCATCATCATTGATTCTATATAATTGATTTTTGTTAACTATTACAATTGACATTTTTGTATTCTATTTTTTTTTTCATTTGTTCAACCAAAATAGCTTTTGCTGATGATGCAGTCGGATTAGAATTAGTCACCGAGCCATTCATTGAAAAATTGATTGCAACAATCGTGCAACATTTTGAGAAATTAAACGTGACGAATAATAATTGTTCCCATTCAAACGATAAATGTGAAAAAGACCATTTCTCTGAATCATTGATGATCAATACATCAGATGCAAAAGACAATTTAATTGATTCGGCCACTTTCGTCAACGAACCAAACGAGAAAATTAATTTAACCATAACGGATAAAAACTCAATTAATCATATTGATGATATTGAAAAGGTCATCGATAGTAATCAAGATATAATGAACATTAATCGACCAGTAGTATCATCATGTATATCATTGACCAGTTCTGACAAATGTAACTTGAGTGATATTTGCCGACAATTGGTCGAACCTTCCGCTCAATTGGAATCAATAGTTGATATTGAACAATTGAATCTCCCCAAAATTCCACTCATATCAACAAAAGAAAATAATTTATATAGTCGCTTCATTTATAGTCAAAAAAATCTCGAACAACTTCCATTCTATTCTGCTGGAACATCGATAAATTCTATAAAAAATTTTCTTACAAATAAACTCAATAATACGGATAGTTCATTGTATGTTGGACAAGTCAATTTGTCTAAAATTCTTTGTAAGTATAAAAGAATTGAATGTCTCAGTTATTTCACAATAATTTTTCTGCTATTTTTTTTAGCAAATGATGACTCATCATTGACAACTTGTTGCCATCGACGAAAAACTCTTATTGAATGTGATGTTGAATATGAATTATTTCAACCATATGAACAAAATGATTGGTTCATACCCGGTGATTCATTTGGATTCTATAGTGCAAATTTATTGATTGATGTCTATCAAGTGATACGATCGATCAAAGTTAAATGTTCCGATTTTGGTGATAATGATGACGATGATGATGATGACTCAATTTTGCTTTGGGATTATTTTAAGGGCAATAAAAAACAAGTGTTTGTTGTATTAAATGATAAGGTATGGAAAAAATCAATGGAATAGAAATAATATTTTATTATCTCATTTTTTTAAAAATACAGAATATTATTGTTGAATTATTACCATATCTATTTTATGGTGTTGATCTTCGTACGATACCGAAAAAAGCTACATTATGCCATCTGGCTCAATACACAACCGATGAACAACAAAGACGTAGATTATTAGAGTTGAGTAGTAAACAAGGAAATATAGAATATCAAAAGCTAATACTTGGCCAAAGCATTACCATTTGTGATATATTACGTTTGTTTGACACTTGTCATCCGCCTATTGATGTATTTTTTGCTCATTTAATCACCGCAAAGCCTCGTTATTTTAGTGCATCAAGTTTACCAAAAATTTTTAAACAGAATTTTGATGCTAGTCTTAATAATAATCATCATGATGATAATAATCTATCATCAACAACATTGATTGACACCCTTTATAAGTGTAAATTTAAAATAATGTTTTCCGTTTCTACAAATTTCTCACACACATTTATGCGAACATCCGAAAACTTGCTAGGATTGTTTTCTGGTAAATTTTTTCGCGTAAGTTTTTTCTTCAATTTTTAAAATTTAAACAATTAAAAATCTATTTTGTTTTTTGTTTTTTTTAGCATTACGATTTTTTACCGGAAAATTTTCAAGCCGATCTTATGTGTTCAAATGTTTGGAAAACAATCGAATTAATTCATGAAAATGTCATAAATGGCAATATATTCGATAATCAAGATGTTACATTATATCAATCTATATCATTTCCAGTTTATTTATTTCAAAGACTCAATAAAACATTTCGTATGATACCACGTGAATTATCATTAAAAAGGCCACTTATTTTGATATCAACCGGAACTGGTGTCACACCATTTTTAACCTATTTCGAATTACTACAAGATATCCTTTCCTCTGATAATAAACAAAACAATGACATTGAAAATCATCATAATCATAATAATGATCATTCATCAAACGATACATTAATGAATGTTTTGGATTATTCAAAATTATCAAGTGAAATTTTCTTTATATTTGGTTGCCGCCATCCTTATCAAGATTTTGCCTATTCGGATCGTATAATTTCATTGTATAAAAATCAACCTTCACTAATAAATCATCTATGTCTATGCTTTAGTCGAGCAAATTTTATTGATTTATTGAAATTTGAAATCGAATCACAAATTAATCTATGCTGTATGGCCAAAATGTCGATGTCGATAAATAATAATAATCATAATGAAAGTGAAGAGAATGTTTCGACACAGTCAAGATCAACAAGTAGTGAACATTACAACAACTTTAATGGACAACAACAAAATTTGGAAAATGAAACAGATTCACAGAAAAGCATTATCAAACATGTTGATCAATTAATACGTATACATGGTGAAGAATTAACCGATTTGATTATCAATCATAATGCTATTATTTATATTTGTGGTAATTGGAAATTAATTACTTCTGATATTAAACAAGCATTCTGTGACATTCTTACTAGATATCATTTTGAAAATCATAATGAACAAAAAGATGATAAATTATTTAATAATTATTCATCAAAAACAATAATTAATAATAATAATATGAAACAAACATCCGAAGCAATGAAATATCTAAAACAATTGCAACAGAATGGTCGATTTGTACAAGATATTTGGACTTGAAAAAAAAATACAAACACACCCAAATTTATCGTTAGGAAATCGATAACCCCAAAAAAAATTGACAATTATCTTTGAAAAAAAAATTGATGATTATCAATCGAATGGCCTTGATCTCATTTTGATCATTGACATTAGAACATTGTTGCTGTGTTTATTGTTTTGTTCGGAATACATCACCAATTCACATTCATAATAATAATGATGATCATTTTCGTTTCAGTTTTATTTTTTCAATTTATTAATTTTGTGAATTCATTATTATTATTATCATTATCATTTTATATATAAATATATTTTTTTCTCATTTCAAAAAAAAACAATACCGTAATCATTGATAATGATTGTGAATAAAAAAATTTATATTTTAAAAGAAATTGATCTAAAAAAAATTTGCTATTCGTTTTCTAATTTTTTTTTCTCCTTTGTTTTGTTTCGTGCGATTTTCTTTTCCCTTTCGGTATCCAACAACAGAAAAAACGATCATTCATTCGAGATGATTGAAAAATAAAATTCCCATCATCATCATGATTGTATGTGTGTGTAAGTGTGTGAATTGATTACAATAGAATCAAATCGATTAAATACAATCATTGATTATCTAGTTCAATCAAAAAAAATGTACCTGAACAACACTAAAAACACCATATATGTGTGTGATAATGATGAGATTAATGGGAAAATCTTTATTTTTTTCCAATCAATATGAAATCGATGATCCTGAAATTAATTAGAAATTTTGATTAATTTAACTTTAGCTTTTCCTTCTCCTTTTTTTTATTACATGTTTAAATTCTGTACCATTTGGTAACAATATGTTTTTCGGTAATAAATTCCGTTTAATTAATTTGATTGATTTTCAAATTTGATTGTTTTTTTCTGGATTTTAAATGTTTATGTTGTTACTTATGCGTATGAAAAAAAAACAACTGATTGAAATGAATATAACAATTGCCAATTGACTGATTGATTAATTGTTTGATTTATCAATATGCCCACATGCATATTGAAACAACAGGTTATCAAAACATCATTTGTGTTGTTGACCACACCAATTCATTCAATACTTAATGAACAATGGAATTATAAAAAAAAACTATATTAATCTGGTAAGAATTATTATTTTCCTTTTCTTTTTCAAATTCAAAGTTGAAGACAATGAAATCTTAAGATAAGAAATTTAAAAAAAAAAGATAATTATGATCCAGAACAGAGAAAAAAATGACAATGGAAAAAAAGACAACTGAAATAAGCATGAAATGATGAAGGATTCATCTTTTTTCTTGAATTATATGTTCAACAACAACAATACAGCTTTTCCGTTTTTCGTGCATCTAATCTATTTAATATTGTTAACCTAACATTTGAAAAAAATAAGAAACAAAAATTAATGATATTAATTTTTTTTTTTTTTTTGGATATAAATTCCAAATGATAAGATAAGCCTATTCAAGTTGTTGTTAATGAAAATAAAATCATTCAAAATCCTAATTGGCAAAATCCTGCATTATCCTTATGAAACGATTGATTTGACATTTTGGTTTCGAGATGCTCATCATTAGATTTATTGATTTTGTTGTTGCCTTTGCTTGATATTATATGATCAATAAAAAAAAATTGAAGAAACCATTATTATTGTTTTATTGTTTTTGCTTTTATGATTATCATAATCCAGTCATGATGATAGTTGGGTTCTAGAATTGTCTGATTAAAATATTTAATTCATTTACATTTATCATCAATCAAGGATTATTGATTTTGTAATCTTATTTTCAAGATTATATTAGATTTTTATTAAATACATTTCTGAAATGATTTATGCCCATAAAAAATTTATATCGATTTTAATGATTTCCCTCATTTAAAATTGCTATAAAAATCATTTTTTTTAATTGAAAAAAAAATTTATATAATTATTATTATTTATTTACATTCATCGGTTATTGAATAAAAATTATAATGCTGAAAATTAATAATATTCATGGTCATCATAACCATAATTTAAATATGGTAATGATTATGATCATGACAATTTTTTCCGTTATTTTTCTTAACAATCAAAATACCGTTATGGCAAGTGAATTTCGATCAGTACCATATTATATGCCTTTTGAAGAAGCACAAAATATTGATGATATATTGGCCCATTCAGGTCTTAAACATTTTGTTTTAGCATTTGTATTGGCACCAACCGATAGTCATGATTGTGTACCAGTATGGAATGGCCTACGCAGTCGTTTGGTCACGGAAGATACATTTATTGTAAATATTGTTAATAAAATCCGACATGCAGGTGGTGATGTTTCTATATCATTTGGCGGTGCATTTGGCACCGAATTGGGCCATGCTTGTAAAACTCCTGAACAATTAGCTGCTGCCTATCAATTGGTTATCGATAAATATCAGCTAACACATGTTGATTTCGATATCGAAGGTGATAGCTTAGGTAACGTTGAAGATGAACGACGTCGTTTTGAAGCAATCAAAATATTGAAAAATAATGCTAAACATAATGGTAAAAAAATATTTGTCTCATTGACATTGCCGACAACAGTAGTCGGAATCAATGATGCTGGCAAAGAGGAAATCAAATTGGCAATTCAACATCAAGCTGAAATTGACCTTTACGGTATAATGTAAGTTTATTTTTCCTATTCGTCTATACACACCGCACAAAGTATATTATTGTGTGTGTGTGTGTGTGTTCTTTAAACTTTCACTGTTGTTGCACTTGTTCCAAAAATTTTCATTTTTTTTCGAAAAATCAAACAAATGAATTGAAATGAAACGATGTCGCCAAACAGAATGGGAAAAAAATTATGAGCTCACCTTGATTTTTTTTTACTTTTGTTATATTTCACTATGAATATAATAGTGAAAATCCAACGGCCATTGCCCATCATTGTCATTAACATTATGATGATCGTTTCATCTCATCATCTATTCATTTACACAATGTGTGTCCTATTCCGCGTGATCTTTGTTTGTGTTTATGTCCTGATATTATTATTATTATTATCATCATTATTAGCATTTTGACTATATTTTTCTCCCATGTTTGATATTTTCTTTGTTTTGATTCACAGGGCATTCGACTTTGGAGCAATGGCCAACAATATGGTCAATTCGGTAATCAGTGTTATGGAGGCATTCCATCGACAACTCAAATCTATTCACACGGAATGGTCAGATCGACAAACATACGAACATATTGGAATGATATTAATGAATGGCCATACAGATCAACCAAGTGAATTGTTCACACAGCAAACATTTGAAGAACTTATTCAATATGCATTAACACATGGATTATCACGAGTTTCATTTTGGGCTATGAACCGTGATCGTCCATGTCCTCCAAATCGTCAACATGGTTGGGCTGCAATTTTCTGTAGTTGTGTTGAACAAAAACCTTATGATTTTTCACGTATTTTATCAAAATTTGAATCCAAAACTATAACAACAACACAAAAACCTCAAACAACAAAACATCATCATACCGATTCACCCACAACACATCGTCCAGATAATAATGATGTTGATTGTTCCAAAGTTCCTAATGGTGGAATTTTTCCCTGTAAAAATGATCGCCATCATTTTATTGAATGTGCACACGGTGAAAAATATATTATAGCCTGTCCAAACAATACCGTATTTGATCCAAAATTATTGACATGTGTTTGGCCAAAATAATAGAATAGACAAATTCAACAACAAAAAAAAAATTAAGAATAAAATGATTAAAGTTTTTTTCCATAACATTTAGTTTATATCACGATTGTTAATAATTATTTGATCAAAACAAAATAAAAAATAAATTTCTGTTCATGATCAAATTGATTGACAACACCTGACATTATCATTAAAAGGTGGAGTTCTATATATAAACAAAAAAACAAAAACAAAATTCATGATATGACCCGATCATTGATGATCGATGACAACAGCAATAACCAAATGTCAGTTGTTACAAATGTCTAAATTGACCATGACCATCATTATCATTATTATTATTATCAACATTGCGGTCAAACATCATCACCAATTAGACATTTGGAGTGTTGATAAAATGAAATGTAATAGATGAAAAAAAACGAAATCAGCTAACATCCAGTGTCATCTAATCACATGGATCATCATTCATAATCATGAAAATGAATGAATGAATGAATGATGTGACTCGTGGTTCATTCGTTCGATAATTATGATGATGTACTGGAACTCGTGTCGTTTTATAATTGGTGGTCAAACAAAAAAAACAAACAAACAAACGAACATGAAAAATATCTGAAAATTATATGATAGAATATGGATGTGGACAAACAAACAAACAAACAAAATGCATGAATCAAATCATCATAATCAATGTACATTATAATTTGAACATCCTTCAAATAATTATTGTTGTTGTTGTTGTTGTTGTTGTTCAAAACAGGCAATTTTTTTCTAAATATTTTGATTTTTAAATATAATTGTCATTAGTAAATGATTGCATCAACCAAACCAACAAACAAACAAAAAAAAATGTTTCAAAGTAATATCATTTCACAGTATTATTTGTTAACAGGATTGATAAAAAATATGATGATAACTTTTGTTATGAGTATTCTTGATTTACTGAAAAAAAGAAATTGATATTCGTTACGAATGATATTTATCATCGAAATTTTAGTTTTTTAACCATGTTGTCGTTGATGTCAAATAAAACAAAAATAATGTACAATTTTGAAAAAAAACAACTAGGAAGAAAGTATGAATTTGAAATTGGTTTCACCTGTCAAATTGTATATGTTCTTCATTGTTTTATGTCATTTTGGACATTTTAAATCGATCTCGGTAAGGGAAAAAGGATAAAGCAGTAAAAAAATAAAACGAAAAAAAAGCCAAAAAGATGTAAACAACATATATACGTGTATAATTTATTTATTTTTTATTTTTATTTTTTAAATTCATCTAAACAACAATGTCGTGTGAATGCAATGTGAACGATCAAGAACAAAATGATCACTTTAACTAACAGGATTCAAATATTATACAACAAAATATTAGTTACGTGAAATGCAAAAAAAAAAAAATATTATTCAATGTTGATGATTATAGTCAATAACAAAAAAAAATGTACAAAAGTCATTGATTCTATGTGTGCATGATTTAAGTTAATTTAATTCAATGATAATTAAATATCAGAAGAAAAAAATAATAATAAATAAACAAACAAAGATGATCCAATGAATCTAATTGAAAATGATGATGATGGTAATATTTTGAACATGTTTCAGTCATCGATATATTGTTAATCTGTTTAGGATATAAAATGAATGAATTGATCAATCGATTGATCACATTCATTGATTATTTGATTGGATTAGATTTGAATCGATAAGGCCTTAAATTTAATAAGATATGATTAATGCAGAAAAAAAAACAAAAACAAAAATCCAAAAATTTAATTCAAAAAACGACAAAACAAATAGGATTCAAACGAATTAACCCAAAAAATAAATAAATAAATAAACACAAGGAAAATGAAACATGACAAAAAGGTCATCATCATCATCATGTAGCTACTTTATTCATTATCATCATTTGATGAAGATGGAAAAAAATGGCAGATTTTTTTTGTTTACTTTCAACATTGATTTGTTTCTCTTGTATTTCATTGAGAAAACTATTCGATTCGATTTGAATTCAACTTGTAACGGAATAAATGAATGTAAATGAATAACATAACTAATGAATGATGATGATGATGTAAATGATGATGATATTGACCTATTATTCAATCGATTGTTAATGATGATTATATCATCTTTGTTTTTTTGTTATTAGTTAAAAACAGGAAAAAACAAAATTTTGACCTCCCGGCTAAATAATATCCGTCGACAATTTTTCATCGTAACTTTTTTCCATTTTCTTATTCATTTTTTGGAATCAAAATCAACAGCAAAATTCTATTTAATTTTATTTTGTAAACAATGATGTTCAGCGTGTGTTCAAACAAATACAATTTATTTCATTTCAGTTAAAAAAGAATCAAAATCATTATTTGTTGACCAGCTGTGTGATTCATTCACATTCATTGATGATATATTTATTTTCATTTCATGATCATCGAAATAATCATCAATTAAAAGATTTAGCCATCATCTTTATGTTTACGGAAATGGTAGACTTTATAATAATGATGTTGATGATGGGTGTTAATGATGATGATGATGATTATGATGATGAAGGCCTATGAAAAGTCAAAAACTATAAACATAATGTATTTGAATTGATTATGTAGGAAAATGTTTTTAAATCAACAGGTTAATCAAAATGAAAAACACGATTAAAATATTATTCAATTTGTTTTGGAATTTGAATTGAATGTTTGGAAAAAGAAAATTCATCAATAATATTAAATTAATCGTTTTTTTTTCTCTTTGTATTTATAATTACATTAAAATTGTAAATTTATTAATTGTTTACGGACATTTGGTGAAGTTTTTTTCTTCCCACTTTTACACTTGCTGTTGTGTTTTATTCCAGTTATTGAATGTTTTTCAACATTAACATTTTAATTATCATTCCAATCTTTTACTTTTTTCATTATTTTTATGGATATATTCATAATACAAAAACGTGAAACAAAAAAAAATTTCTTTTTTGTTTTGTTTATTGATTAGATTGTTTTGTTACTTTTGAATTTTACAAACAAACAAACAAAAAAGCATTATTTCACTATTTCCACTGTATTCAGGAATTGTTTACTTGGATAGAATTATCATTGATCCAATGATTGTGGGTTTCAAAACAAAAAAAAAATAATTAATCATTCAGGGGAAAAAATCAATGGGATTTTTTTCTGTTTTTTTCTGTTTTGTAAGGGGTAAAATTCAATCAATAAATCAATCAATAATCATTGATTGAAATAAATTGTTCAATATATTTTTTCTTTTATCGATTAATGAAAAATTTTTTTTTGTTGTTGTTGTATTTTGGCGCGCTAAAATGAACTATTCATTTATTCATTCATTCAGGTAAATTCATTTGTGAAACATTGAACACATTTCAACACACCCACAATCCGAAATAGAGAGAGAGAGCAAAGCAAAGAGAGAGAAAGAAAAACAAAGGTTGATACTATTTGTAACATTGGCATTTGTAATCAACTATTCTCTTTTCGAATTTCTTTTCTCTTTCTTTTCTCTTTATCTCTTTTTTTACGGAGAAAAAGATGTTTTTTTTTGTATTACAATCCAATGGATGATGATCCAAAAAATCATCTCAGAAAATTAAAGAGGAAAAGAAAATGTTTTTGCTTCCATTTTATGTTTCATCCAAAAAAAAAGTAAATTTAAATTTTAGTTTGTCTAAATATTGAATGAATATTGTTGTATATCGTGTAAACATCGTTGTCTTCAGTTTATTCGAAAATTCGAAAAAAGTTTGAAATTCGAAATTCGATTCACATCATTCAATTTAATGTTTGCCGAAATTCCAAAATGTTTCCATCTGTTTATTTATTTATATGTTTGACATTCTGTTGTGATTAGTAATGAATTGGATCATAAACGTTTGTTGGTGATTTGTTTGTTTGTTTGTTTTTGATGTTTTGGCACAATGCAACAAAAAAAAATAACAACGATAACATAAGATGATTGTGACATGATTTTTAAATTTTTTCATTTTATTTTATCGAAATTTGTCAACTGATATTGATTCGTAAAATCAACTAACAAACAAATATGTTATTGTTTGTTTATTTATGTTGATTTTATTGGTGACATTTTCTTTTTCTTTTTCTTTTTTAAATTTCACCTTAAAATCAAAGTGATTGATTGATCGATTTAGTTCGTTGAGAATTATCAATAACAATAATCAACTGATCCAATGTCTATGTCAAAAATCATCAAAGATCAATCACCAAAAATGATGTCGACTGGACAATATAGTGAAACAAGTAGTGGTGATATGTATCTAGATAATCGTTATCTATATGCTCGTAATAGCAAAGCAATTGGTGTATTATGGGCAGTGTTTTCACTTTGTTTTGCTATTATAAATATGGTTGTTTTTGTACAACCACAATGGTTAGGTGATACAGCTACATCACGTGGTACGGGTTATTTTGGTCTTTGGCGATCATGTCGTTTATTACAGGATGGTCAAGATTTAATCTGTGAAGGACGATTAGATGATTTTAGTACAATACAAACACCTGCATTTCGTGCAGCAACCGTATTTGTTGGCCTTTCAGTTTTTCTATCATCATTATGCGTATTATCAATGGTATTATTCTTTTTTCTTCATTCATCAACCGTATTTCATGTTTGTGGTTGGATTCAACTTTCATGCGGTAAGTTTTTTGTTTTGTTTTGTTTTTCTATCCAATGATATTGATCAATAATAAATGAAAATGTATTATTATTACGGTAATTATAAACATGATCGATTTGGCATTGACAATCATATTTGTTTGAATGTGAAAAAAATCAAATAGTCATTCATTCATTCATTTAGAATTTAAAAACAGCAACAGCCGGCTGGCTGTTGACTTCAAGCGTTTACGTTTATTTTGATCAATAGTTCAATAGATCACCGAAACATATTTAAATTGATAAAATGTTAATGATGATCGATGGCACCGATTGGCTCCATATTAAAAAACAAATAGCATTTTTTTTTCTTTTCAATTCATTATGAAATGTTTAAAAGTCTTTTATTCTTTTTCTCTCTCACTTTATCTATCTATCTATCTATCTGTCTATCTGTCCTTGTTGAATAGTAATTTTTACTTCTAACCATAACAACAAGTGTATGTCATTACACACTTTTGTTTCATTGATTGTTATATTCGTGCCAATGATCGTGACATAAGGCGCCTGGGTTTGATTTTTGGTTTTTCTTTTTTGTTTTGTTTTGTTTTTTGTTTTTTGGTTAAACCATTATTCACATTCGGTGTGATCCATTATTATTTATTATCATCATTATTATTATCATTACATTCGTTTGTCACGAATTGAATGGATTGATTTACTATCCGTTTTATTTTTTTGTGTACAATAAGTAAATGTGCACACAATTTTTGTTAAATGTTGAATAATGAAACAAATTAAAAGTTAAAATTTGAAATGATTGAAAATATTGGTTACGGATTTACATTAAAAATTTATCATCACAGATACACACACACACAATGGAAAAAAAACAAAATTATATGGAAATTCTATTTTTTTCATGCTTTTCAATATTCTAATTACTGATTGATTATTGGATTTAAACATGAAAAAAATGCATTTAAAATGCGATTTATGATGAACCAAAAATAACTGTAATTAGTTGCCCGAAAATAACAATAATTGATCTTGATTAAATGTTGATGATGATGATGATGAAATTAATCGATTTTTTTAATCAAATAAAAATTAACACATCTCTGTTCATTTGCTATAAAAAGATGATAATGATTTCTATGATGATTATATATATTTTTCTGGGTTAATGAATTACCTGAAGCTATTCAAGCATATAAACAAATTAAAATGATAAACAGAAAATTAATAAATTCGAAAATAAAACTTTCATTTTTTTTAATGAAACAAAAATTGTTTGTTCGATGTTGTTGATAAATATTGAAAATTCGAAACATGTTTCAGAATAATAATAATTTAACATATGACATTGGATAAAATTAATTTTTTTTGATTAAATAAATGTCATCAAATGTTTATAAAACTAAAATAAAATGCATATCGATCCTTCAACAAAAATCATCGATCAAGGATTTTTTGGATGAAGGCCAGATTAGGAAACAATCATTTGGATGTTAGTCATTACAATTCAAAATGTTTTTGTGATCATATTCAAAAAAAAAACACACACACAATGTAAACACAAGCAAATTTTTCCGGTACAAATCATTTTATCCGTATCCGAACATAATTTTAATGCTTATCAAAAATAAATAAACAATACTACAATAGTTTCGATTATGATGAAGATATTTTTTTTGTTGTTTTTTCCATTTGCTAATGGATAATGTAATCAAATTGAAATGAATGGGAACAATATTTGTGAATGAAAACAACACAAACAAACAAAACATTTGAATTTCCTGAACTTTTTTGGAAATTTGATAAATGAGAAGTAAAGTGTATTCACAAACGAAGCATAATCATTTAAAATGAAATCATTCAAAGCAATGACTAATCAATCTGACTTGTCCACTGTAATGTTTATATTCAAATACTTAATTATCATTATGTTAATGATGTTGATAAATTGGAAATGGAATCAAATCTTGATGATCGATCGATCAATCCATTGTTCATTATTGATATTTTTTCAACAAATTTCTACTAAATATGATGGCCAGAAAAACAAAGTGTTTAATTACAAAATGATACAGGAACACTATCATTATCATGATGATGATCTGTTGACTAGTGTACAACAACAACAATTTGAATATTTAAACGTCATTCACTTGTTTACTTTTTTTTCTTCAAATCAAAAAAAAAAAGAAGTTTTTTGTTTGTTTTGCCATTTGATTTTAACCAGGTAGTTTTTCCACTGAAAAAAAATCGCTTCAATTTTCCATTTGAAGGATTCAAACAATCGAATCGATTGATCGATAATGTGTTTGTTTGAAAATAAAAATCAATATCTGTAATGATTTATACACAATTTAAATCAGGAACAATTTACTTTTTCGCCAGTTTATTTATTTGTTCATTGCTACTAGTTTTTCTTATTCAAACATTAACCACCAAGAAAGAAAAAACAAAGCTTACATTGGATTAAATTTCAATGAAAAAATGTATTTTACATAATCAAAATATAGTTTTATGAGGAAAATATTTTCTGTGAAAACTGAAAAATTTCATTTTCAATATGAACGAATCTCATATGAAAAATTTTTTTATTGGATTTTTTTTCTTTCATCAGCTAGAATTTTGCACATGTAATCATCGTGATTGTTGAAACCATAATCACATCACATCATCAACTCTATAGGAGAAAATAAATCAGTGAATCTTCAAACTTGAAGATCCAGTTACGTCGTTGATGTTTTTTTTTTGATTGAAATGTTCATCAGAAATAAATTTGACTGACGAACGAAATGAATGAAAAATGTCGCCATCATTATTTTTTATTTTTTTGATGAGAATTTATGGATTTTGCTTTTTCGATGAGTTCATTCGATGAATATACGTATAAATATAATATTCAAAAAGAAAATAAACCACGAAATGTTTGCCACTTTTCATTTTCCAATGACTTTCCCATTCTATAGCGTATGATTTGATTTTGATTGAAAAACAAAAACAAGAAATGAATTACATTCAATCACATAACAACATATTTTATTTTGTATTACGTGAAATAAATGAATGATGATTATTTTGTCATCATTGTCCTTGTCGCCGGACATTCATCGTCATATGTGTTGAAAACAAAATCAATCAAATATGATAATCGATAATGATAATAATAAAAGAAAAATCGATAGATCAATTTGAATCAAATTTCAATCATTCATGATATTGATTATTATCGATCATATTTTATTGTTGGAGCAACTATGCAACAAACAAACAAACAAACAAAAAATCGATTTCAATTTTATGGAAAAAAATTTCATCATTGTTTATTTTCGGTATCATTGTATCAAGATATATTCATTTTATATGTTTCAATTTTCAAACAAACAGAAAATTTTTGTTTTTGGACAATTCGACAAACATTTTTGTTTTCCATTTTTTTTTTGTTTTGTTTTGTTTTGTTTTTACTTTTCATAAGATTCTTTTTGAATGAATGTTTTTTTTCCGCTTTTCATTAAGATGATGATCATTAGTGTTTATCCAAAGACTAAAATGACAAAACAAAAATGAAAAAGAATCTATCGTAGCCAAATTTAGTTGGTTTTTTTTTTGTTTGGATATATTATTATTTAACAAGAAGGGCAAACTAAAAATAATTTTCATCAAGGTGTGTGTTTGTGTGTGTATGTCATATAGGTCACTATTAAAACCATACGCATACCGTAAGATTATTATTATTATTATTTTGAATCATTTGTTTGTAATTAAAGATGCATTTTTTGTGGATATAATTTTTCCTGGTGAGAACATTTCTGTTGTTGTTGTTGTTGTTGTTTGGTTTGTTTTTTTTCAGGTATTATCTTCTTCTTGTTTTCATTTAATTGACAATTGTTTGTTGTTTTTTGTTTTTGATTTTTAATTTTTATAATTATCAACATCATTATCAACAACAATTCAAACATTAGGTTAGTTGGTCATTTTTGTTGTTGTTGTTGTCGTTTCAAATCAATCCAGGTATACATACAATAACAAAACATATCATAGTCATTATTATTATCATTACTATCATCGTTTGTTTTTGTTTCAGGAAAAATTTTTTCCCATCTGACATCGTCTAAAAATATTATCATCATTTTTTTTCATAAACAATTTTTTAATCATCATCATCATTTGATGTGACCTACCTGTGTGTGACCCAACAATTAAAAAAGAAAAATTCATAATTTTCTCTCTTTTTTACTTAATCACACGTTCTCTTTTCTTTGAATGCATTAATTTTTTGGTTCAAAAATAAAACTGTCATTGATGATGATAATTGAATCAACGACAATTTTATTTATTTATAAAAAAAACATGTTTTGGTTTTCATTTTCATTTCAAATTCAGATTTTTTTCAATCCATTTCATTCGGATTTTCTATTCCAAATACCAAGTTCATTGGCATTCAGATGTGTTTGTGTTCAACAAAAAAAACCAAACCAAAATATTCACCAAAAATATCTTAGTTGAAATGAAATCAAATGTATTTCTAATTATATCTGAATAAATTATCTATGTATTTTTATATGATGATTATATCATATATGTAATCAAAATCAAAAATTTAGCAACACACAGATTTATCATTTCACATCATTATAATCATAATGGATGGAAATTTTATTCTAATTATTAAAGGATTATTTTTCTCTATATTCAGAAGCCATAAGCTTGTTTATTTATAAAAGAATTGATGAACAATACTCGAGTCACGATACTTTAGAATCATTTGGAGTCTCACACATATTATTAATATTATCATAGATTTTCATCAAATTATAAATCTAGATAGATTAGATAATCATTCAATAAATAAACTTATAATTCCTATTCATTTATTCAAATTTTTTGTTTATTAATTATAATTATTTATCCATAGATTATATCCATCATCATCATTATCATTATTATCTTATGTGAAAATGAAAAACAAAACTTTATGATTATAAAAAAATGTTTTGTATTCTTTTCATTCATAAAACAACATATTATC